TACACTTGATTTCCACAGTCACTCTATAACTTAAACAAATGCTATAATTCACCACGAACAAACGATTCACACGCTTGACTCAATTGTCGTCTCTATCTCTGTCTGCAATTCAATTTCATTTGTTGCCGTCATTTCTTGGCGGTCTTACATACAAGAATACCGCATATCTAGTAAATACTCGAGGCTTCACGAAGGGACATGAATTTTCTAGAAGCTCATGACGTGTTACTAGCGTCACGTGACTACCGCTGTCGTAATAGTACTGTGCACTAGAAACGTTAGGTGTGTCTGTTTTGTACTAGAATACATATAGTGTTGTTCACATTTCAGACACAACTAATGATTCCCCTCTAGATGATTATCTCTAGGACATGACATCTTTTCATGGGTTAGTGGTGGACTTAAGAATTACAGATACTTACATGAAGATGGTAAGTCCTATTGTAAAAAAAAGAAGATTTACCCTTAATTTTATCAACAGTCAGAACTTAAACCTCTCTTTAATGAAGAGTAAAAAATTAGATATTTGCAATCCTTCTCAGCATGCCATTACAATAATTAAGGACAGGAAAATAGGTCGGGATATGAAAGCACTATCTATAATTAACAAACCCAAAAGTATGTCCCTGTTTACAACAAAAGACACATTTTAACAGTCCTTAATACCTTGGCATATAGCTATTAAATTAAATTATTTATTTGTTTTACTTTGTGAGAGGCTGGTCCTTTGCATATAAGAAAGTGATATTGTATACATTATCATCGTAGTTTAGGATGGATTACCATTTACAACATCCGTTCATTTGTCAGGTCCAACTTGAAGTGGTAAAAACCCAATTTGTTGTCAATGTGTTATCAAATTATCATGATATTATTTACCCTACTCCAGAAAACATTGCATAATTCTATAGGGAATTTCAACTGTTGTATGCCAACTTAATTCAAACCATTCCTAACATCGTTTTGTTGAAGGTTTACTTGAAAATTTTCATGATTATGTACAACAAAAAAGCCAAATATTTTTATAATTGATGATATTATGTGTGAAAGTGGACAAAATAAGGGAGTTCCAAACTTTTTACACGTGGAAGTCACCATTTCAATTTATCTGTATTTTATATTGTACAAAATCTATTTCATTAGGGTAGAGAAATTTGTAACACTTTAAACTATCAATACATAATTTTGTTTAAGAATGTGAGAGACTGAATGTTTCAGTGAGACAAATGTTTTCAACACGTGTCAAATACTTTGAAGAAGCCTACCAAGATGCAAATCAGCATTCGTTTGGATATCAAGGGATATATATGTCCATACATTGTGATGACATCGGCCGTGATAGATATTGAAGGATTTTATCTGAAGGACAGACCAGATGTTATTAAAGAACTAGCGTTCAAATGTTTATACAATGGTTATATTGGTGTTTTTTTCTTTAAACAGCCATTTTTGAAGCAATTTCTATCAAAATTGGATTGCAGGCAATGTAAGTGGGTGACCAAAAATATTCACAAAATATCCTGGGAAGATGGAACCATCGAGTATCTCTATTTGTGGAATTTGGTTAGTTTGCTAAGACAGAGCTTTACAGCTGTGTTTACCAAGGGGAATAAGGAAACTGAACTGTTGAGAAGTCGCTTTCAAATTTCTTGCTATAATTTGGAGTCAATTGGTTGTCCCAGAGTTAATCAACTTTATAAATCAACTCTACACTGTCCAGTTCATAATAATGACATAACTTATCATTGTGGTGTTAAAAAGTTCGATGTCATATATAAATGGATTGTGAATGATTTTATAAATATATGTTTAAATAAATAGATTTATATATTTTTAACACAATCTTTTTGCCATTTATTCATCATGACATTTATAGTTAAACAACTTCAAGATTTGTTCCAAGCATTAACCAAAGCTACATGAAAGCAAATTAAAGATATGATTGCCGGAAATAACAATCATTTTATAATTTGTATGTGTGAATATTCTTCAAATGTTTTAAAGAGTAATGTTCCCGTGACAAACATACAAAAGCAGAAACTTAGACGATCCAAGTGATTATTGAGAGCATTGGGTGATAAGAAAACATCTCTTAAACAGAAAAGAAACTTACTAATACAGAAAAGAGGGTTTTTACCATTATTCATAACACCAATACTTTCACTATTTGGTGGTTTGGCAAAATGGGCTATTGGTAAAGTTGGTGGTATTTAAGATGGAACATACAAAACGAATGAGTCTCAATCCCGAAGAACTAATACATTCGCTTTATCATTTTAAAGTTTATGCAAGATCCATTCAAAAAATTTTAAACTCTACAGATAAAGATATGAAATCTGTCATATATAATAATACTCTATCTGTAGATGATAAATCCAATATATTAAATCAGCTACAACAACGTCATTAAACCTTTCAGTTGCAAACTATGGAACCTATTAAAATTAAAAATAGAATCGCCGACTCGCGAAAGTTTGGATATCATCGATAGCTTACTTTTAAAAATATAAAAAGAAAGCTGACATACTAACTTAATACTTTCAAGTGGAGATGTAACATGGAATGATCGAGGAGAAGTAGTGATTAATAGATCTGTATCAAACAGTAACATAAAGATCTGATCAATGGTGTATTATGGAAACAAAGGTTTGTTTTTTTTTGTTTGTTTTTTTGGAATTTCGCGCAAAGCTACACGAGGGCTATCTGCGCTAGCCGTCCCTAATTTAGCAGTGTAAGACTAGAGGGAAGGCAGCTAGTCATCACCACCC